ACAAGTGTTATTCATTGATTAGTAATACTTGATATCGGTCAGTGATACATGTGAACAAAAACGTACTCTAAAATATCCAAATTTAAGACAATGTTGGTTCGAAGAAGTTGATTTCCATTTTTTTTCGACTGTATTATCTTTGATTAAAAATTAGTGTTTTTAACACAGCCATGGCACTCTGGATTGAAATCTAAAATTCAATTTTGTTTTAAGCACAAATGTCAAAAGTTGACACATAATATGTCATTCTATTTAGAATGTCTCAAAATTGTTTCCTTTATTACTCTTTAACGCTAAAATTTTTTCTCTCTCGAAACAATTTGGTATATAAATAACCGTACTTAATGGCTGGACATATGGATACCAACTTCCCTGTTAACCTTACAAACTCCCTTGTATCTCTCATTCTATTTAGAATGTCTTCTATCAAATAAAGTAAAAAAATACCAAGGGTGCCATTTAAAAATCAAAGGTTGTAGTAATTTCCGGTGAAACAGGAAGTGACAGAAAACAATTGAATACGTCAATCAATACTAATTTATGTCATATACTAACATACTAAATATCATTTTTTTATCTAAAAAAAATGAAAAAGTTATAGGGGTGAGCCACTTTTGAGACGCACCTGGTATAAAAACATCAACAACTTAAAATTAAATTTCGTGGTACTTTGTACAGGTTGTCCCATTTTTGTATGTTTAGTGTTTCTCAAAGATTAAAGATACGGTTTTCACATCTGCTACTACTTTTGTGAAACTAAAGATAATAAACACATCGCTGTTAAAAATTTATGATAAAAATATATGAAAAAAAAAGACTTAAGACTTAAATCTCATAAAAGACTTAAATCTTTTGTAAAATGACTTAAATCTTTGATTGGACTTAAAATCATATGATTTAAGTCATTTAAATGATTTAAGTCAAAAAAAGACTTAAGTTTTCTGTGAGCTTTCAGCTCTGCTGGGTGTATACTAGGGTATCTCTATGTTTACTTATTTCTGTGAGATCGGGCAGGTCCGTATCGGCCCCATTCCCCATTTAATTTCAGGATTCCCCCTGTCCATAACCTTGGCGCAGGCAAGTGTACTGCACCCGCGAGCGCCTCAATTTACTGACATATAGACATAGTTCGTTCCCCTTGAGCTAATACGATTTCGTCGCCTGTCGCTTCTATTCGTCACCGCGTTTATGTTTCCTCCACGAGGAGAACACATTTTACACACATCCACGTATAGTCGAAAGTACACACATGGTAGTGCTCCCAGCGTCCGCCCTTGCGGTTGCCGCGAGGTTGCCGGATGTTGAGAATTTTCCTGGTGTAGCAGGAATGTCAAGCTGAATAGTATAGGCACATTGCTTAGAATAAAACATGTAACTTGACATGCGTTAAATTATTCTGAAGTATTTTACTGAAGTAGCTGTAAAATAACGACATCACACGATAGGTAAATAATGGATTTTAGTACTGCAGAAAAATAATGCCAAAAGGTACTGGTTTAAAAAAAATATAGTATAGTGTATCCAACGACAAGATCCTTGACAGTAATAGATGTGTCTGTCATTTTAATTTCAAAGTAGTTTATTTTAGTTTACAAAGAAATAAGTTGGTACAATTTGAACGCATAGCAGGAAATTAATATATTTAAAATTTGAGTGATAAGTGATTACTTCAAAATATTGTGAAAAAAAACTGTATAAAACTGAAAAAATCTAATCGAGTTATTTTATTTAAAAAAAACGGTACGTGTTAATACAAAACAAACAAGAACATCAAAAGAAAAATATAAAAAAGACTTACTTTCAAGTTTCAAGAAACGTCCCTCATTTTATCAATAAAACTTATGTACAAATATAACTTTGTAATATTCCACAGGAACAAATAAAACAACATAAATAAAACAAACTATTTTATTAATAATAACACTTGATCCAACCCCAAGCTGTTATTTCTTAATGTTTAATAACTAGAATGCACACTTTAAATTATTATTTAATTTTCGACACCAAAGCGTTAAGTTATTTTGTTTTTATTAAAACACCTAACTGATTTTCGAGGCTTTTACAACAATGCATAATTACATGGATATGCATGCGTTTCATTTGCAATTTTCACACGCTTTAACCACTTTAACTCCTTCGTTTAATTGCTTGATTCGGCCTTAGTTATGCACGATACCGACGCCTAGCGTTAATTGTGCAATTATAGAAGACTTACTTTTTTTGTTACTAAGAGGAATTTTATACAAATTGTATTTTTAAACAGAGTTTTTTATATTTCTTAAGAAAACACGAATTTGTAAAACGATCCACAAATATTTTATTAACAACCCCCCCTCTCATATTGTTTGACATTCTTTTCAAGTTTTTTTGCTTCAGGGGAATGAATGATGCAAACTGGCGTAAGGAGTCTTACTGGATGGGACAATAGGTATTGTTCCATACATTTTTTATTATGAACTGTGTAAATATTTTGTTTATAATTTTCTTCGTGAGTTGGCCAGTTATAAAAAGTGTTATTTAACTATTTTTTTTTCCACAGCAACTGTTAAAATTGCCTTATATCTATCAAAAATAGTAGATAAAATAGTACTTTAACCGCAAAGGTAGATTAAATGATACTTTAACAGCGAGGATAGGTTAAAAACTATTTCTTCTAGCACGTTTTTTAATTGCTTCCGTTTTTGAAGATTTTTGTATTTCTTTTCATAAGTTATTCGGGATTTAAATGGAAGTAGTTTGGATATGGCGTTTGTCGCCTCAGCCTGAATATCTGTTGGTAATTTACTTATTTCGTTTTGAGCCATTTCTGGCTCCAATTCAATCAGCAATCGACACGAAAGAGAATTAAAACAAATATTGACCCAAAACTGACAACTAAAGAGACAGCTTTATTTATTTGTCAAATTGCATAGAAACCAACGAATAATCCGTAGAACATAGAAATCCCGGGTTTAAAATTATCAATGAAATACCTAATATCATAAAAAAATTAATATAAATATAACAAAACACGAAAATTAACAAAAACCTGTTTAAAAAAAATTATATGAACACCAAACAAATTTTAGCAAACAAATTATAGCTACAAAGTTTAAAAAAATAGCGCAAAAATATTAATGCGTCTAAAGTTTCATCCCCCCGTCTTGAACCTTATTACATAAGATCCCTGCCGAAGAAAAACATCTTTCAGATTCCACGCTAGTGGCCTTCAGGTTGATAAAAATTCAACCATTCATGGTTGATAAAAATTCAAATGCTTTTTGGAGATTACGTCCCCAACTACCACCATTTGAAAATAATTCAATTCCTTGGGTAATAATGTCGGACAATCGCGTCTTATTACTTCTTTTGGTTTTTATCGGCTTTGAAGATTGTTGTAATGCTTTCTGCAGTTTAGTCTTCTCTCCTTGAGTCTTCTCTTCTCAGAAGTTCGGCAATGGGAAGCTCATCCTCTTCGCTGTCGTTGCTGGTCTCTTCTAGAAGTATCTGATGAATTGTCGAGCTCTAGTCTGATTAAAAGCTTTTTTATCTCTGATTTAATTAGGGAAATATTAAGTTATTTAGTTCCGAAATTAAGCAATTTACTCTATGGCATGAAAAATCGGTATTTATATAATGCAATCCTGGGATTTTTTGAGGCAAATTTTCTTCCGGGATTCCGAAATCCCGGGATTGACATCCCTAGCATATAGGTTACCATTGGAATATTTTTCTAAATAAAACATGTGCGCCACTGATTTTTTCCTTTTATTAGCAAAATTTTGTAGGCCATTTAATGCCGATTAAAAATTTTATCTTGATATTTTGTCCATTTCGATGCCCCAAATGAGATAAACGCAATTTTATTAATTACAGTTAATAAAATTGAAATAAAAATAAAATTAATAAATTATTTATTAATGTAATTTATTACTAAATTTTATTAAAATGTACTCTAGTAAATTCTCCAAAAAAAATAATGGTTTTTAAATTAATTACCAAAGGTCTATTTTTTAAAAGTTTTAACATCCTGTAACTTTAAATCTATGCATTTCTGCACCCATGTTTATAGGAACCTTTTTCAATTTTTTTTGAAGAAGAATGAATAAGTACTTATTTAACATTCTGGGAAGTTAATGACATTAAATTTTTTAAAGGTTTTTTATTAGAAATGGATTATGGCAAATTAATTAAATTGCGTTTATCTCATCAAGGAGACCGAAATCGACAAAATATCAAGAGACAACTTTGAATCAGCATTTAACGTTCTACTCACTTTTGCTAACAGGAGAAAAAAATCAATGGCTCATATATTATTTTTTAAAAAATATTCCATTGACCACCCATATGCACGTCCCTGGTGAATATGTCGACACTTTTTTATCATTAAAATATATCGCACTTATAGTAACTTTTACCCTCAAAATTTCATTCCAATCGCTAAAAGAACTTGGAAGAAAATTACAATAAATCGAAAAAAGATGAATACTTTAACACCCTGTAGATACGAAACTAAGCAGAATCGGACCTACGTTAATATGATAAATAAATCTTATTTTTACGAGAGGAATCTCCCCACGAGAGATGGCACATGGTTTTTGTAACACCCTGTATAAATAAATTCACACGCAAAATTTATTTTTCGAGCAAGTTCGGATTTCAAAGCTCATTTGTCCGGAATTTCCAAAAACTTGTTCGGAAACCTTGTTTTAAACAAACTTGAAAACAAGTGTTTAAAACAATAATAACTCTGTTTTAAACCATAAAAACATATTTGACAAAGTTCTAAAATATCTAAAAAAACATTTTTTCGACCCTGTTATAAATTGCTTAACAAAACATAAAATTTCTTAATGATAGAAACTGTCGACTGTCTGCTTCGATTGCCACAGTAACCAACTGACCACGTGACGTTATCAGCACCTTCCCTTTCTTCGCCCAAGCGATTAAAAGCGGCACGAGCCGGCAACGTTGGATCCGCTCCGAACGATCGGCCGGAGGAATTCTTTTCCTATCCGGCCAAACAGTTGAACTGTGATTAGCGTTCGGAGCCACCTCAAAAAAAGGCCACCTTGCTCTGCCATAAAAACGCTTTCGTTGGCTTCACGTTGTCTCGAGTTTCGGGCTCTCTTCTTGTGCGTTGAATCGGTTTATTGTGTTCGATTTAAAACGTAATTTGGTTGTGTTATTTTTAACTTTTTGAAGTGTTTGTTCATATAGAAAAGCAAGGATTATTATTTTTCATTAGCTGCATTGGTAACTTTGTGGTTGGGACAGGTCAGTAACTCTAATCTATTTAAATATGTGCTGTATTTAAATCTGCATAATGTGTGGGATATCTGTTGACTTAATAATCGGTCTTGGATATAATAGTTATTATTGTTAATTTGTGTTAATAGTTTAAAAGCCCTGACGTTGGTAATTAACAAAAAGAAAACAATTAGTTTTCGAGTGAGTTGCACATTATGTTAAAATCGTTATGAATGCGTTCTTTCATCTGATTGTAAGACAAAAAAACCTTTATTATTTTTCAGGACACTGCTTTAGATGTTATGATAAATATTATTTCTAAAGTTTTCTTCGAGATTTATATTCTATACTACAGTCTGTGGTGCTTGTCAGATATAACACCCTCCGAATTTTGTACTTTTTTTTATATCACTCGAAAGCATACATCGAAATAAGTATTCCAAGTCAAAAAAAAGTGTGGATGATCCATAATTTAATGAAAATATAAACATCTAATTATTGCTACAACAGGCTACTTTCTATGCGAAAACTCCTCCAAATTTTGTCGGCGTTGCCAGATTCATTCATTTCTTCTTGAAAGGTTCATTAAAAAAAACACGTGCTGGTCGGAAGAAAACTCGCGTTAAGAACAGATTATAAATTATTTTAAAATCAAGAAAAGGCGATCGTCTGAGAAATTGCTCCTACACATAGCTGATATTTTGCCTACGAGATTTGACTATTTATAACTACAAAGTTGCACGAAAGAGTTTTGATTGCGTTGGTTTCAACTTCTTTGGGGGTTAATCTGTTGTTTTTTTATATTTTAATACGAATCTGAGTGTTTTCAATGTCTTGATTTTAAAATAAGTTATAATCTGTTCTTATCGTGACAGCGCTACTGTATAAGGATTTGTTCGTCCGGCGACCGGCACGTAAAATCAAGTGAAAGCAATCAGATTCGTATTAAAATAATAAACAAAACAAAAGATTAACACCCTCACGAAAAGGTTGAAACCAACGCAATCAAAACTCTTTCGGTTTCAACTCTTTTTTTGTATCATGTAACGTACCGTATGATCGAGAAAAAACGGCGTCAGCCCATGGCTATGAAATGAACATCGCTGTCATTTTATATGTAAAATTATATGGGGAATGTCATCGATCGTCATTTCCAAGCCAAATGGACGCCGTTTTTTTTCGATCATACGGTATTATGTATCATACAAACAAGAAATAACTTTGGCAACAATGCTTACACAGCTTACATCCTTAACAACAAATGGTGACAGACGGCTCCGGCGGCAAGTTCGAATCGAAAGAGTAAATCGATCAGGCAAATATTACAAAAGATATCAGCAACTCTATTTTTGATTTATGACTTATTAATGATTCTCAATGATTAAGTCTGACGTTTATATTAATAAAAAATGCACATAATCGTCATATTTTACAATAATTACACGCTTATACAACTTCACCATAACCTAAAAATGCACTTTTAATTTATTTATTTTTCAATAAATTGTGGTTCATCCGCAATTTTTTTTTGCTTAAAATTCTTATTTAAGTGTATGCTTTCGACTGATATATAAATAAATGCCAAATTCGGAGGGTGTTATATCTGACAAGCACCCAGATATTTATTTTTTTAAGAAGCCACCTACTGATTTTTGGACTATACAAGGTGAGTCTTAAGTAAGTGTATATATTTCCGGGGCTGCTGGATCTCGATAAAAGAAACATATATTTTCTCTTTACCGTTTTTTAAATAACTGATTTATTTTACTTTAAAAATTTGAAAAATATGATTGCTTAAATTTTGAGAACCACTGGATTTTTTCTGGGTTTTCTTTCTAATCTACAACCTATGTCGCCATATAATCAAGATATGTTTATTAACTATAAATTTAAAAAATATATATATTTTTTTTGGAAAAATACAAAATTTGCAATATACTCTATACATTTTCATCCTCATATACGTGTTTCTGGGGTCGAAATATAGCACTACTAAAATATTTGCACTTATTTAGGGTTCACCCTTTACAAATGCTTTATTTATTTAAAAATTTTGAAATCTTTGAACTTTTAAACATTGCCAGTTAAAGGGGTCCCATGGATTATTAAAATTTTTATAAATTTTTAAAGCAAGGTATAGAAAAGTTTCAAGTTAAGATAGTTTTTTTAGAGGTTTTAGCGCTTTTTATGACAATTGATTTCTGTCATTTCTGTCATTTATGTATTAAAATATACTGATATAAAAAATTGTAAAAAATAAGATTTAAATAGAAAAAAGTAAATGTTTCTAGAAATATTTTTTTATTTTCTTTTTTTTGTGGCTTTTGGACCAAGAAACACATCTGTGGTGAATCAGTTTCTATAAATCATGTTAGTTCACAGAATATTTTTGAATTAGTTATCTTTTTTCATTGTAAGTTGTAAGTAAAAACTCTCTAATCCATTCTAGTTAATCAGTTCCAATTATTTTTTGATCTTGGTAATTTTGGGATACTGGGAATATTAGAATCTTATAAAATTCCCGAATTCTTTAAAATTGTCTTAATAGGCAATATCAATTTAATATATCAAATAAAAAAGAATGGAAACAAAGTATAACAATACCCATTTTTAAAAAGGGAGATAAAACAGACCCAGCAAACTATAGAGGAATAACATTACTGAGCACCTCGCTAAAACTTCTGACTAAGATCATTGCGGACAAAATCTCCTCAATAGTGCCAATAAGCGAGGAACAACAAGGATTCCGAAGAAACCGATCAACTACCGATGCACTATTCATACTCAGGCAACTAGTTGAAAAATCCTTAGAATATAACTCTCCAGCCTATCTATGTTTTATAGATTTAACAAAGGCCTTTGATAGAGTCTAACTAAAAGACATCATCACCATCTTGGAAAGCAGTAATGTCTCGAAAGAACTCACAGAACTTAAAACACAAACACAACAACCCAAATAAGAACAAACTTTACCTTAACGCAGCATCTTCGAACTACAACTGGTATTCGCCAAGGCGACAGTCTCAGCCCTCTGTTATTCAACGCAATCATGGATCAAGTAATAAAAACCGTCAAGAATACTGGATTAGGATATCGAATGGGAATGCATAAAGTAAACATATTATGCTATGCCGATGACGCAGTACTTATTGCAGAGTCAGAGGACGACCTCCAAAGAATGCTACAAGCTTTTAACAGACAGGCAGAAAAACTTAACATGCAAATTTCCACAAATAAGACCAAATGCATGACCATTACAAAGGAGCCTCTACGGTGCAAATTGGTAATAAAAAACAAAACTATTGATCAGATAATGTCATTCGAATACCTCGGATGCAAAATTACAAGCTCAGGATTCCTGGAAGAAGAAGTAAGGAAACAAGCCAATAAAGCTGCCGCAATATCAGGACATCTTAAATATCCCATATGGAAAAACAAACATTTGAGTACAGAATGTAAGTCAAGAATATACAAAACCTGCATACGACCAGTGATGACATATGGTGCGGAAACCAGAGCTGAAACATCAGTAACAAAGAGAATCCTACGAACTACTGAAATGAAGACCTTAAGAATGATAACTGGATACACATTGAGGGACAGACAGAGAAATGTAGACATAAGAGAAAAGTGCCAAACAAACGACGTTGTCAGATGGATAAGGCAGAGAAGAAGAGAATGGAACCAGCATGTCAATAGAATGGGCCCCGACAGAATGGCCATAATAATTCGCAACAACGTACCCCATGGCAGAAGACCTACTGGACGACCACCTAAACGTTGGTTTGGTTTGGTCAACCTCGCAAGAGTTGCTTAGACGAGGAGGAAACCGGAACTAAACAGGCGATACGCCTTCTAAAAGAAGAAGAAGAAGAAGAAATAAAAAAGACAAAAAGTAAATAGTATTAAAAAAAAATATTTTTTTATTGTAATTTGTATAAACCTAGGTCGTTTACCAAATATTAAAATATAAACTTCAATTTAATTGTTGTAATAATTTAGTTTGTAATAAGTTGGATTAATATTAATATACGCTTACTTTACACATTATCGCTCTGCGGCAAAATAATTTTCTGTGACTTTGAGTGATAAAAGTAGTGTTCGAAACTACTGTGGTAAAGATTATAATTTTCTGTGAAATGGTCTTCCATAAATTTTTTCTTCATTGTTATTTGATTATTCCAGTTAATACAAAACCCGCATGATATAAATATATTGGATAATTGGTATTAACTTTGGTTCATAGAATGCGATGTAAAAAGAAATATATTCATTCATTTTATGTGGGATTTTTTATTGATGGCCAATAAAACAGAGATTAGACTTTAATAAAATAGATATTAGAAAATAGAAATTAGTAAAATCATATTTTAATGTAATTTGACAGCAGAAACAGGCACATGATATGTATATTTTTGGCTAATATTTTAATTTTTTCACTTTTTTTCTGTATATTTAAAAAATAGAGCTGTAGGGTTATCTATTTCTTTTTTAGAATATGTTCTTGGTCGTATACTAAGCGTATGAAACATTGCTACTTTGTACATGGCTTGTAATAGCAGTATATACATTGTTTTAATGATATTTAATACATATGATATTTTATGATATGATATTTTAAGCATGACAAAAATGCATATTCTTAAACTTATCTAAAGTTAACGCTCAAACGATTTCCAATAAGTAAATATTAATGTTACTGAGCCTTTTTTATATTCTGAATCATTTGAAGCTAACATAAGTTTCATCGTTGTCAAATTGCATATTTCAATTGATATGTTTGTTAATATAGAAAAAAATATCGATATTATACATATTAGTTTTGTATTAAAGTAATATTGATTTAATTTTTTTTCTGTTTAAAGATGTATTTAATTATTCATGAAATTTACAAACCTGTTTAAAATTTGTAATTATTTATTTTTATTACAGTATAATCGCAAAATAAAACACTAATTCACCGTAATACACCAAAACACTTTACTTTTGCACAGGGCGCGCGTTTCGCTAACCATGTTAGTCAGTTT